AGCGCTGGGACTTGGAGCTTGGAGCGCTTCCTCCTGCAGTTGGTACGGAAGGAACTCTGCTGGCTGCTCTTCCAAGGTCACAAAAACAACCTTGGAAATGCGGTTTTATGGGTGTTCTGATACAAGCCATCTTGCCCCTCAGCCTTCTTCTCTCACGCGCCAAGGTGTGACTTTGACAGCTGAACCTGGCCAAGTGTTTTGCAAAGTGGGAGAAGAACATAATCTTCACTTGTGCGTTCCTCCTACCCTCAGTAGGGTACCCAGAGTCCCCCAAGTTTGGAGGGCATTTGGACTGGCTTGGGCCCCAAACATAGTTTGTTATGAAAAAGAACCGTAAAAACCTTCCAAGATCCAGCCAATTCTGTAAATAAAGGCAAAGAGATTAAATTACTAGCTTCTGTCAGTTACTAGATTTATATATGATGCTTGTTTGTCAATTTTAAAGAATGTGAAGGTAAATTTTGAGGAGAGATTTGAAGGATACAGAAGAGAATGAGTAAGTGAGAAAGAGGGAGTTACGACTGGAGATCACCACAATATGATCCGAAGTTTTTAGTTAAGGGAACAGAGAAGAAGGGGAGTTTAAACTTGTGCCACGTGGAGAGAGATTACTTGGTAACAGGATGAATGTGAGAGGCATAGTAAAAATCAAGGACAAAAACAAAGCTTCATGCCTGGTGAAAATGATTCATGATGTGGAGTGGATACAAAGAGCAACCAAAGAAAGGACAACTGAACAGTCCCTTTTTGGACATTGTAAGCTCAGGTGGTGATGAAACGTTCCAGCAAAGTTATCAACAAAGGAACTGGAGGTGGAGAAGTAGTTGGAGTGGAAATTATCTTGACTTGTGCAGTATAATGGAACGTACTGAAAGCCATGTGCAGAAAATGGAACCATGGAAAGGCACTTTTCCTGTGTGGGAACATTGACTAAGCACTTTGACAGGTAAGGAGAAAAACCGCTCAGAACAGAAAAATTAATCTTTAATGTGGCCTTCTCCAACTGGGTAACATCCAGATGTGTTTGGATTAAAACTTTCACCATCTCTGATCATTGGCCATGCTGTCTGAGGCTGATGGAAGATGTAGTCTGGGGCAGCTTGAAGGCCCCAAAATAGGGAAGCCTGCCCTAGAGAGTATCGGGAGCAGTGAGGAGCAGGTCATAATGCTGTGAAAGGTGATGAAGAGCTCAGGAGGAACAAGGGCAGAAGAAATAATTGGTTAGTCAAGGAAATTTTAGCATGATTTTTTCCACTGAAGAAGATGGAAGATGTGTAGAAAGTATGAAAGTAAGAGTCAGAGGCGTTTTGGAATGAAAAATACTTCCAGAGGAGAAGACTCTGGGGGATGGTGGAGGACAGGAGAACCTGGAGGAATGATGTCCCTGGGGTTGTGAAGAGTCAGGCATGACTTTATGACTGAAGAAGAAGACGATGACGAAGACGAAGAAGATGAAGAAGAAGAGTCGGGAGTTTTGGAATGAAAGATACCTCCAGAGGAGAAGGCAGCAAAAGTATCAGTAGGAAAGGCAGATTTTGATGAGAGCAAGAGGGAAACTTGGCCAAATAAGAAGCATTAGCACCAAAGCATTAGTACCATAAGAAGCATTAGCACCAAATAAGAAGCATCTGTGGGGAAAATACTTCTTGGCCCAAGTGACTGTATGCATCCCTAGGCCAAGCCCCCACAGGTGTCCTGGGATGAACTCAGGACTGACAAACAACAGTTCTGAACACTGTTTCCATTTATATATGAAAATATTGCTCATGTAGACATGTGATAAGTGGATTGTCATGTTTTCTCAATGTATAGGAACAAGCAATATGGGTGGCTGACAACCTGAAGCGAGGGAGAAATTATCAAAGTGACAAAGAGGTCAGTGCTCAGCATAACAAAAGCCGGGCCTTAGAAGTATTCTTAGCAACATCCTACACACCTCTCTGCTCTCACAGTTCCTCTGCAGTAGTAAGAAAAGCCTGGCTGTGCTGTATTTTATCATGGTCATGAAGCTGGCAACAAGGTCAGTTTGACAGAATGTATGTTTTTTACTATTTGTAAAGCAAGCAATTGTATGGTATTAAGGCTGGAAGCTGGATCCATCTCTAGGAAACCACTCATTGCCAAAAGGAAGTGTGAGAGAGAGCCCAGGACATTTTAGTGGCTGAATCAGAAAATTCAAATGGTAGTCCCTCTGATGGTAATAATATAAAAATACCTAATTTGGGGTTTGCTACCCTTTGCTGGTGCCTGAAAATTTGCTACATGGACAGGCAATGGCACTTTTCTTAAAGGAATGCCTAGCCCTGTGAGAGGACTAGGTAAGGGATCCTGGGAAGGGAATAAGGCAGAAGGATCTACACTGGGAAGGCCTGGAATTCCAAGAGCAGACTAAATACACATCCATCTGGAACAGATTACTTCCAGAAAAGACTGTGCAGGATATCTCTTAACTGGCCGGTTAGGAGATTCAGCTGGATCTCAGTCAGTAGGGTCAGGCCTGTTGCAAAGCAGAGCAAAGCAGGCAGCAGAGGCTAACAGCCAGGAATGGTACAGAGTTGTTTAAGAATGGAACTGTGTAGTGTACTAAGGCTGCCCTCTTCTCCCTAACTTAGTTTGCAGCTCTCAGTTATGATGCAGGATGCTTTTCTTTACCAGTATGGAAATAAGATTTAATTGACAGTCTAGTTAGTTGTATGGGCCTGGGGGCAAAGGTAGGGTTGCCGTCTTGCCTTTCATGTAAGGCTGTAATCAAGATTCTTTGGCTGGCCTTGCAAGTCAGAATTTGAGATGTGTAAAGTAGTCATAAAATATGGAAATTTGGGGGGGGGACCCCCTCTGTTGGCAGGTTTGCCTTAGAGAACCTTCATCAATGCCATTTTCCCCAAAGTTCCAAATTCAGTGCAAGAGATACTTATGACGCTTTGATATGTATAAAATACCTGTTGAAAAATATTCAGAGCGAAAAGAGAAATCATGCTAATATTGACTTTATCTGGGAAAGTAGAATTAGGAATAGAAAAAGGAGAATCGGGGAAGGAGAATCAGCAATTAAGCATTTCTAATTTAAACCCAATTTGGTTTGCTGCTGATCATTTTAGAGGAATACAGTAACAAGTCCACATTAATTCTATAAGCCACGATAAGTGCGGGCAATGATGATTTAATATACACGCGCGCGCACCAGTAATTGGCTGAGTTCGCTTCCACGGCCGTCCTACGCTGAATTTGAGCGAGTCGCTGCTTTGACGGGAGAGAGAAGCCTCTCGCCCCTTGTCTTTCGGAGCAGGCGTCCCACCACGCGCAAAGCCCAGTTAAGTGTCAGGAGAAAAAAAAGGCGGCGGGGGGTGGATAACGCCCGGAATCCCGGCAGCTCAGAAGGGAATCCCCCAACGACACAACCAATAGCAGAACTCTATGCAAAACGGGGCAACCCGGCGCTCCCGCGATCCAATCAGAAGCTGCTAAAGTATCAAAGCCTCTCACGATTGGGTAGCCAGGCGGAAAGAGTCTGCCAATGAGACAGCGTTCCCGGCTTGGCGTGGTGAAGGGGCCTGGTTATGCAAATCTGATTTGAAAAGCGGGCGGGAAATCTGAGTTTCGCGGGAGGCTCTTGGCGCGTAACCCCTTTCCCTTCCCTTCATTCATTGTCAGCAGCAGCCGCTGCTGCTTCCTGGAGCCATTTTCCAGCCAGCCCCACACAGCGGGAGTGGCCGTGTTCCATCCGCCGCATCTGCCCGCTATGCCGGCTCGTTCCCCCCAGCGACGTCGCCTCCTGGAACTGCAAACCCTCCGGAATCCCCAGCCTGGACCATTTTGAGTCGGGCGCGGTCATTGAACAGTAAAAGCGCCAGGAAGGCCTGGTGGGGGGAGGAGGTTGGCGGCGAAGCGAGAGGGGTGGGAGGAGACTCCGCTCCTAGTGCAGACCCACAAGGGGAAGGATGCGAAGGGGACTCCAGCCACACAGTCTCGCCGCTCAGCCAGCCTCGCCTCCCATGGACTCTGGAGTGACCCCCGCCGCTGTCGCCGTCAGCCTCCCAGCCCGTTTCGCTCCCGCCGCCGCCTCCGCCGCTTTCCTCCAGATCCACAGCAGTTCCGGGGCATCCGCGTTGGGGGCGCCGTGGGTCTCCTGCTTTCCTGGGGTTGCTTGTGGCGTGGCGGAGGGCGCCCGGCCCAGTCTCGTGGCCGGCGGCGACACCACCTCCCTGTGTTGCACCCCTCACGGGCCCGCCGGGCGGACAGCACTACTGCAGCCCGCTAGTGAAAGCGGAGGCCGATCCTCGGTAATTCCTGCTTCCCCGTTTGTGTGCGTGCGTGTGCGTGACGGGGCACAGTCTGCCTTCCACACAGGGGGACGGCGGGGCTGTTGGCGAGGCTGGCGGGGGGGCGCCGCTGAGACGTTTGTGTCTGGGATTGCTGCTCTCGCCACGAACTTTTCTTCCACCTCCTATTTCTGGCTTCCTCCTGGCCCGCTGTACCTTGGCCGGGCGAGGAGGAGGGTGGGCGGAGGGGGCGGCGAGAGCACCCCAACCCAGGGGAGGTAACATGCAGACGCCCTCCAAATTAAGGAGAGCAGTGGGGGGCAGCTTCCTCCCCGCTCTCCCTCATTGCTGGTGGCAGGAACAAAGAGAGCGCCGTGCCGGCGCTGCAAGCGATGTGTCGGGCTGGGGTAGCCCAGGGGCTGGGGGACGGGTGCGCGGGGGTGTCCGCATGCGTGCTGCCGCGAGTGGAGGCGGCTCGGGCTCTGGCCTGCCCGCGGGGATGGGGTTCGGGGTCGGAAGAGGCAGCATGGCCGTGGGGGAAGGGGGAGGCTCTCTGTCCCACTGGTCTCTTTTTCGCTTCACCCCCGGACTCGGCGGTGACGTTTCGCACACGTGCGCCGAGGCCGCGTCTGTGACTGGGAGCCGGGCGAAGGAGGGAGAGGGAGAGAGGGAAGCAGGGAGGGGGCGCTGATCCGAGTGGGGGAAGGGGGGACACACCAGATTCTTCCTCTGGCCTGGGCAAGCACACAGAAGAGCGCCCAGACCCCACAGGGCGTGCGCCGGGGGCTGACTCCCTCCCTCGCGGACGCCTACACGCGGCCCTTCCTGCTTCTCAACTCTTGGAGCTGCCCGGGGGCTCTGCTAGGCTCGGAAATGCCCCTGCAGCAGGTAGGTTAGGGAAGCCCGGGGAGCGCCTGCGGTGTGGGGGGGCTGTGAAGGTACCAGCTGCAAGAGCCGTCCATTTAAGTAAGCATAGCTTGTTCCCCCCAACAGAGATTCGCAACACTCAGGGGCAGCCTCGCCCCCTCCCGGGGGGATATATATTAGGCTAGATATTTATTGGCTTCCCAAAAAGTATCCCCCTCCACTTCCTCAGTCCCGTTTCTCCACTTAAATTGCCGTTATGGGGTTACCCATTCCCCCCGCTTCAGCATAATTTCCTGCCTGCCTGTGCTGAGTTTGGGCCTCTGCCTGGCACTAGCAAGGAGTCCCTGAAAGTTGGCCGGTTCAGATAACTGCTTCAGGCCACCGTTGTCTGTGTGTGCCACTTTATATTTGAAATTACTTGATAGTTTGGTTGGGCTGAGTGTGTGTGTAGGTGAGGTTAGGTAGGCGGGGGGCTTCAAGCTGAAACTTTCTTGTCTGCTTTCTTCTTCTGACCCTTCCCTCTGTTGTTAAGTATAATTTGATTATAATTTCTTTGCTGATAACAAGGGGGCTAATCTCTGAGGAAAGAGGAGCTTTTTAAAGTTAGAAAACCCTGTCGTGTTAAAATGAAGAACTGTGGGAATGTGGTTTGGATGTTAGAGAATAATTAAGTTACTGCACCCTCCATGCCTGGTGTCTTGTGAAGTTCTTCCTGGAGGCTTTTTATACCTGCTTGTTACAACAAATATACTTGTCATAGGAGTTGGTGGTTCAGAAGTAAAGCGAGGTTTGGATGACAGCAGAACAAGGGGTGGGGAGGAAAAAGGGATCATTTTCCCTCTCTAAGTGTGTGAGGGAACATAAGCCTCAAAAATAGGGCACGCAAATAAAATGGGGAAACTAGGTGTGGTCTTGAACTTCCCGCCTGCTCTGCCTTGGGCCTTGATTCAGAAGACTTTTCTGATACGGTATTGTTGAATTTGGAATCTTTCCATAGGTTCAAGTCAGAAGGCTAAGCAAGGTTCATCCTAAAGGGGTCGAAGGGCTCTTGGCAATGTGTATGGGAATGGTGGTAATGGTGACTTGTACCCCCTTTGGCCTCACTGTACCTGACTTTTAGATGTTCAAACAATATATTTTGTGTGATTTAGCAACTGAACCATTTTTAGGCTAAACCATTACTGTTTGTGTCCGCAACATGACTACTTGATCATATATGTTTTGTTTGCTTTGGCTATAGTAATTACTCACTTGAGGGAAGGCCCATGGCCAGGCTGATAGGATTGAAAATTAGGGAAAGACAAAATAAACACTGTGTTTAGTAAATACCCAGTGGTAAATTGTTCCATCATCCTGAAACTATTACTGCTTACTTATAAACCAAGTGAAGTAATCATCTTTCATATTCAGTGTACTCAATACAAGCAAAATATGGATCAGGAAGGCTGGCTCTCAATTGTATTGGAGCAATATTATTCAGAAAGACAATACCTCACATCTGTCAAGAAGCAGATAAGTAATTTTGTACTTAAAGATATCTGTTTGTAATATCAGGATTATGGGTTTGTTCTTTTAATTTGAAGAAAATAAATTTATATCCAAATATCATCATTTACAAGTGTAGCACTTTGAACTTGTTAAAAGATGTACAGTTCCTTGTTCTAAAGATGCTAATGTTTATCAAGGTGCATTGCTGATAATTTGTCATAGGCAGCAGTTACTAATCCCTGTGGAATAACTATATAGAGGCCACTGTAATACTATTAGGCAATTTTTGTAGTGACATTCTTGAACAGTTCTCAGACTTTCCCACATTGGGCACCCCTCTGTATTGCTGAAGACTTTAGCTTGTAAGCCAATGTAATGCAAAGTAATATCAACTAATATACTGGCATACATAAAAGATATTGTGGGTTCAGTTCCAGACCACCACAATAAAGCAAATATTGTAATAAAGTGAGTCACATTATTATTATTTTTGTTTTCCAGTGCATATAAAAGTTATGTTTACATTATACTGTAGTTTGTGGAGTGGGCAATAGGATTGTCTAAAAATACCACAAGTTTTAAGTGCACTGTTTTATATGGGTGTGGTCCATGACCCCCCCACCCCAAAAAAAACCCCAATTACAATAGCAACATCAAAGATGACAGATGACAGATCACCATAACAAATATAATAACGATGAAAAAGTTTAAAATATTGTGAGAATTACCAAAATGTGGCACAAGAGACACAAGGTGAGCAAATGCTGTTGGAAAAATGGCATTGATAGACTTGCTGGACGCAGGGTTTTTACAAACCTTCAGTTTGTAAAAAGAAACCCCCTCAATATCTATGAAGCACAATAAAGCAAATCATGATAAAACCAGGTGTGTCTTTTACAGATGCCACTAGGGCATTGTTTCAGTGTCTGGTTCTTTACATGTGTATTAATGCCACTCAGTGTATATTAGGAAATATTCTACTCTGATTTACCTTTTTGTACTCTTTGGTGAGAGCTGACTTTATGCAAATGTACAGATGCTAGAAAAAGCATTTGTAAATTTACACACTTATCAGTCTGTGGACAACCACATACAGAAGTAGACAGCTCTACTTATTTTCTGGATTAGGAACTGGGCATACAAGTGTTGGAATTCACACTGAATGTGGATGCCATCTAATTCCAGTACAGTACTATAATGGAATGCATATTTGAATGTGGTTCCCTGTTCTGGTGCAAGTAGTTATGCCTAAATATATTTCAGTGTTTAGGTAATGATGAATTTGGTCAAAGGCCTGTGATAATTTCAAATTTTAAACTAGATAGCTAGTTACAGGCATAGTTTATATTTCTTGAATTGAAAATACATATAACTGTTAGCAGTTTGCATTGCTTTCTAGCTTAAAGGTAGTGGGGAAAAATGAATGCTAGGTAACATTATCTGCAGATAGTAGTCAAGATGCTGAAAAAACCCGCTTGCGCATGCATACACATATTAGTAGTTTGTAGCACACTGACAACCTAAAAGTTGGGGCAGGATGCTATCTCTTACATTTTGTAGAAGCTACTTTGTTGGAAATGATACTTGTGGACCATCAAGCAAGTGGCTATGTTCAGGTATATATTAATCTGGTGTATAATTCCTGAAAACCTACAGAAAAAGGAATTTTATTGCTATAATGGCTTCTTAAAGATAATTTTAGTCAGGAGTATGGTTTTTGCTCATTGGTAACCCTTGTATAGGTTGGATAGATAGATCTAAGATCTCTGCCAGAATGATTAAGAGCTGAGAGGTCTGAAAGTTAATGATTAAGTATCTGGGGCAATTCAACCTAACCATTGCCCAGTTAAAAGAGTTTTCAGTACTAAGTATCTCTTAGATCTGTGATGGCAGAGAAGATTATTATTCTTTATAGAAGCTTAATTCTCTGCCAGCAATTGGAATGGAGCTGCTTAAGAAGAACAAGTTGTGGTGTTTTAGCCTTATGCACTCTTAAATATGGCTAGAAGTCTGAAAGGTGTGTTGAGGGACTGTGAAGTAGGATTATATAGCAACCCAAATAAGGCATCTGTTAAGGGGTGAGTTGGAAATGAGATATAACTCCAGTTTTGCTTACATTCTGATCTTGAGGTGGAAGAAGGTGACAACTACATGTTCTAAAAATGTTACATCTAAAGTGACTTCAAAAGAAAGCTAGAATTAATTGAAAGAGCTGTTTGTATCACAAACTTTGTCAAATGCTGGCCCCGGTTCAGTGAAAGTTAGTTGTATTCAAGCACTATTTAGATTGATGGGACTTAATAACCTTTAATTAAATTGTCGAACTGACATGTAGTGAGGCTATCATTGTGATTGGGGTACGTTGCTCTTAAATTAGTGTCCTTATTTGGCCTTGATGAGGTGGAGATACCAATCATAGATGCCCCCCTTTAAGAGATAAATCCCTTGTTGAGCTCTGTAGGTCCTTCAACAATATTAACATATGAAGATATTGATAGTGACCATATTTCAATATACGTGTGAAATGAGAGATGGGATTTAATGAATGTCATGCCTTTCCCCGGAATTCAGTGTTTCCATTTCCACCCCTAAATTATATGTGGAATTCCAAGGAACAGAATAATGACTTGCCATTTTCATATAGTAGCTAACGGGAGCACTGTTACTGAATGGAACTGAAATGTTGGTGGAAAAACAGCATCTCTAAAAAAGTAACTTGCCAAGAAGCAGCACTTTACGTTTTAACAGTCACTTTTGATTTTGATTTAAATTTATGTTGTTTATTATATAGATATGGTTTGTTTTATAGTATTTTGAATTTAAGGATTGTAAGCTCTCCTGAGATGCCATGCATAAGGGACAGCATATAAAAAGTTTTAAATAAATTAAATAAATTAAATCCATTAATAATTTGAGATGCAGAGAGTGATGGAAATGGTATACAAATTGGACACTATCAATATCCTTCTGTTTGAACTCATAAAAACTGTTTTGAAATGCTAGATGAAATTTTAACTTGGGAATGGAATATATGTATTGGGCTGTTCTGACATCTGAACAAATTAAGGCGCTATCTTCTGTATGGTGACTGAGCATACTAGAATTTGTAAGGCTTTTTGCCTTCTAAACATGCATAGGATTGTGCTCAGGGCAATGGACATGCATGATGCTTCCCACTCAGAAAGATAGCTATGTGTTGTGATAGATCCTTAAGACCATATTTTTCAGTTGATCATCATGAAATGTTTTGCTTTTTTCTGCTCTGAATAATTTTAATATAATGCAGACTTCTTGTTTTGGTCATGAACTTCTCTTTTCTTATTGAAAAGCCTTTGGAGAGTTCTTTCATCTTTTAAAGTGAGTTTATATACTTGTTTTCCTTTTGACTGTTGTGCTCTTGACCATTGGAGAGCTTGAGAACTGAGCAGATTGTGTATATTGTTATTGTAAGTATGACCCTGGGTTTTGAGTTAAGCAGAGCTGAGGAAAGGCAATGCACACATTGGTGACAATCCACCATGACAATACGCCAC